ATTCCACAAGTGAGATTATGGTAACCTAAACTGTTTAATCGTTTTTATTACTTAACTTACTAAGTAAGCCTCCCTCCCTGCCGTTACTTTACACTAACATCGACCCCGGTAACCCCAAATAATTTGAATATTATCTAACACGAATCATAAATCATGAAATAACCTGGCACACAAATTTTGGTAGACCTGGCTGATTTATGATAGTAATTATTTATTTTGTTGTTCCATGCTTTCTGCTCCTGTTTTATTTTCTCTAGTTGTAGGTGATTATAATTAATTTGTTATGGCGAAGAAAATGACCTTGAATGCACCGTTCATACACCAAAAGGATATTCAATTAGAAGGAGTTCAAAGCTCCCGGCTGATGTCTTTCGTTGCTGTAATACGTGTTTAAAATGTACCACTTAAACGATTTTTGAACTAGAACACTTCAAACAATCTAACATCACATATCTGTCCTCTACATTTAATATTACCATCTATATCAAGCTAATCACTCCTGTAAACTGACATGAGTTCTGTAATTATTATTTTCAGAATATAAATGCATATAATTACTATATTACATAGTTTTGAGGATGATTTATATATTGTTTGTGTTTACAGCATTATAGGAAGCTTTAATTCTGATAACTTTCTAGAAATAAATTATTATGTAACTTGTGTTGTTTTACTCTTGTGAAACGTTGTATTACAGTCATTTAATGGTATCTACTAACTACTGAATACCGACTTAGTGGTTTCCAAGTATTATGTTACCTGCAAGGCCTGCATGTCCTGTAAGAGTCATTTGAAGTAATTGGACGTTCACACTTCTGAAAAAACTCAAAGTACATCAATGGTTTTTCAAATTTTGTCAGTCGACAATAAAACTATTTTTAATCTAAAGCAACCTTTACGAACTTCTTGTCTCACATTTAATTCTCTTGATTAACTGTTGTGGAACAACAAATCATGTAAACCAAATTAATTCTATTGTATTGTTTTGTAACTTGTAAATCTTCGCGTTCATTATAGTTTATAAATAAAGATTCTAAAAGTTTAGGAAAGTTAATTGATGTCCGGTGGATTATGAGTGAAAAATTCTGCCCTCGTAATTTGAGCCATGATTCTATCTAAGATCAGGGTTTAATGAAACAAATTTTAGATAACCTATTGTATATAATAATGTTACTTATCACTATGATCTATTTATAGTTAGAGTAACATGAAATACATAAACAGTTCGACTGGTGTTTACAATATAACACAGACGACTGACAAATCAATGCAAGAGCTCTTATGTATTCAGTGGATGGAATATGGGTGTCAAGGTATGAATAGTATTCACGTAGAGAGTAACTAACTAGCTAGGTCATCTCACTAAATCAAAACACTAAAAGACGACTGTTAATTATCTTCTGTCATCATCTGAGAAGAAACAATTCATAAGTTATGCTCAAGATCATATGTACTAAAATTTATTGAATGTGAGAAATATGTATTATAACTTAGTCTTTACATTACCAACATTTTATTAAATGAATAAAACATAACATCAGTCATGACAATAGTCAGCCACTATCCATCTTTGCTTACAATGCTTGTGATTTAAGGCTATATCGATGCGATACTTACAGTATGCACATATGTCAATTAAAGACTGGCCAGTTGCAGTCCTAAACATCAAGCCATTATTAATAATAATAATAATAATCAATGGGAAGATTCAAACAAACAATACTAAGTGAATTTAGACTGCACCCCGTTGCACAAGCAAGTGGCTATCAGGACTCAGTAGCTGAGTGGATAACGCGATGGCGTTTGAAGCGAAAGGTACTGGGTTCGAGTTCCAGAGTGAACATCAACTCCGAGATGCGTGTACATCCAGCTGACGAGTTCTGAATAGGACGAAACGCGCGTCCTGGAGTTCCACTGCTGGCCACTATCCGTCTTTGTTTACAATGCTTGTGATTTAAGGCTATATCGAGACAATACGCACAGTATGCACATATGCCAATTAGAGACTGACCAGTTGCAGTCCTAAACATCAATGGGAAGATTCAAGCAAACAATACTAAGTGAATAGTCAGCCATGTTTTAAAGTCTTTGTTAATCATCACTAGACAAAAACTTGTTTTCCACAAAATAACATGAACTTACGTGCAGTTTTCGTCCAATATACACACATATATCATAATAATATTACACAAGCGAGATTACTTTTTGAGATAGTTAGGATTTTGGGATGTTAATGTATTAAAATGTAATTAAAAACTCCTGATAATTCTGAAATATGACACTGCTGAACGTTCACTAAAGCTCTTCAAGACTTAACATTATGTATGGGATAATTGAAAGACCGCTAAAATAATAACATACATAATATTCACCACCTAAATCACTTTCATTGATGTACTGTCGAAAACTAAGGATGTGGGAGTTATGATTATACAATTCTTACAAGTCACAAGATAAAATGAATTGACAATACAGAACTCCATGATGTCTATTGATTCTCTAACTAATATCATTTCAAAATCTATGAAATGCCCCCATCAAAATCACCTCAGTTAATAAGTGTAGAATAGTTTGTTTACAGATGGAAACATAACGATAACTAAATTATTTTGTTTGACACGGTTGTGGTAAATATCACTGATTAATTGTTGATAATATATGAAATGTCTTTGACACAATCAATCAGTACAAATGATTCTATGAATCTTCCATCACTACGTACTGCCTACAAGTTTATTAAGCCAAAAAGTTCAATGATTGGGTTGTTTAAAGAGTTTTCATGTCCTATCACTTAGAATTTAAAGGAAAATTCTTTGTAGAATATTGTTTATTAGAAGGAATTCGATAGCTTACTATTCATCAGTATTATTAAGAAAATCTCATAAAGCTAATTTATGACAACGCTGACTGAACAACATTTTTTAAACTTCATGAGAGTCTCGTGAAAAGAGGATTCGTTATATTCGGTACATTTTCAAATGGTAGTTAACTAGAAGATTGAAAAAAGCGTCATCAGAATATTCCAAAATAGTGTTTCATTCAACTCTGTGATTTTCTTTTTTTTAAAAACCTTAAAGGTGGTTTCATACTGTTGTTGTATCAATTTGATTTCGATCTGGTGTTTCAGATCATTTTTTTTGAAATCGCAATTTCTTTAGTTTTGTATGTCGAAAAATGTTGGTAGTTTTCAATAAATTAATGGAACTTCTTTTCAACTAATCCATTTCCATAATGAGAAACGGAATATAATTTTGTCCATTGGGAGAATAAATTACCAACCTGTTCACTAAACGCGATTTCCTAGACTAAACAGCATTTCAACTAACGATTCATGCATATTATTAGGAATGTAGCGTGAGATTGTGGTTGAGGCAGAATCAAAAGTAAGCAGACAACATTTGAGTGTCATTCTTAGTATGAAATAATCAACCGAAATGACGATGACAAATTGTAAACCTATTGAAGCTTTTTTAATTGAGAATATACTGACTTAAAATGTTTTTCGGAGACTATGTCAATTTGATAAACCTGATTATTATCTACTAAATTGTTTAATTTTTCAGCCATTATTGGTTCAACAACATTTTGACGTTTATATAAATAATCAGCTAATTTTCTCTTCCCAACGAAATATAAATAAACTAAATTCCGGAATACTACAGATGACATTTTTCAAACGTTAAGTAACTGATGAGTAGTGGGCCAGATAATCGTTTTTTTCATAACATTCTCATCACCGTTAAATTAAGTAAATTTGGATGTACGTCAGTATATTTACAAAACTTATATCTTCAGAAAAACACAAATCTCACACATGACCCGTGTACATCAAGTCAGTAGGTGATGTCAGTGCTGTTGCCATATTAATATTATCAATAACTTCGGAGGTCTGCTCATACTCTAATCCGTTGTTCTTTCAGTAGCCATAATTTTATGGTGGTTGACAGAGATTATCGTGTGACAGAGTGGAATGATGCGGTATGAATTATAAACTTTTGCTATTATACTTATTCTTGTAAAATTTAAGGATATGAAAAGAACATACATTGCTGTTTACCATTATTGTGCTGTAACGTTTTGATTTTTATTCCGTTGTATAAGAGTGGCTTTAATAGTTAAATTATTAATGTTATAATTCTCCTTGACCGTGTATATTTGATAAACGCTGAATATATTCTAGTATTCTAAGCTCCATTATTCTCTGTGCTTGTCTAACTGATCATAAAATAAATAATATTCAGACAAGAACTTATAGTTTTGCAAAGATCCCACAATACTTTTCGGAGGGAAATTCGGTTTACCATTCAATAATGACAGAATATACCTTTCTTCAGTTTTATTTAAGATTGTCTGACTAGAAACAGTATAAGATCAATCTCTGACTTAATTCCATTCATAGTTTTTGTACATCTCTTTATGAATGCAGCATCTGGATATTTCATCTTCTGTATTCATTCAGTAAGTGTGTACTGCTCCGATGAACAAATCGAATTCAGTCAATTGGTCATTGCTACAAACATTCTTTAACAGAGCTTCTCATTAACATAGATGTACATCAAGATATTAGATAGTTTAAATATTTCATGGAGGTGATCAGAGTCAATCAGTATCAACTAAAGAACTTATAAAATATAATGGACAATTTGCTCCTTTTAGCTTTAATGTTTTTCAATATTTCTTGGTAGACATTTTGAACCTACTGCTCACCAATATATGAAAGTATTAGTCAAATTAACTATACAGTGGTTGATCAGATTAAGAATATGTATTTATTATTTATCATACAAATGCATCATTGCGAGTTTTTCAACAAAAAAGAGCCAGTGAAATGAATGAAAACTGTTTCAAACATGATGGGATGGTTCATAGAATTTGCAAAACTACCCCTTTTACGATATAAGAATAAAAATATTGTGACTTTAAAGAGATGAATAAATGTTTATCGGAACATTAAAGAAATGTGAGAAAATAAACTGAACAATGTAACTGTCTGTTTCGCTTCAAACATTTAGTATCCCACTAGTCGCTTCCACATACTTCATATCACGATCTAATTGACAGGCTGAACACAATGGACAAAAGTATTCCTTCAGATAGTCTTTGCACAAAGTACCCTAATAATAGAAAAATGAAAGTGATGAAATGTGATATGATGTAGATTTTAAAAAATACCAGGAATGCTTTTTCGTTACAAGAGTAAACAGAAATTTTTTTGTTTCTGGTTGTTTATATTGAAACAATTAAACTGTTTTACTCCAGCTGAAAAGTTTTTATCATTCGGAAGTTCATTCTCTACAGAACGTAGCACTGAATCTAGGTTACGCTAGTATTTCACTCATTAGTTTACTGCCTTTACTACTGAATAGTATATAGTTTTACTACAACGACATACGTGGAAGATTCAAATAGCTTGTCAACTAGGAGCGTAATGTCATCAACACACTTTCTTAATAAATATCAGTTAAAAAAGGCTGAGCATATCATATACTATGTGTGTTGTTTCATATAGAAAATAAGGCAGTGATTTTACTTCCTAATCTATACCTTGGCTGACAGAATTTAATGGTTTAGTTTAAATACTTACAATAATAGTACATCGGCTTGTTTCTTTGCAGTTTATTCTTCTGATGGTTGAAAAAGAAGAACTAGTAAACATCAGAAAACGATGATAAAGTAATAGAACAGAATGGGACTTCAAAGTTAATTCCCGTCCTATATACAACTTTTTAGTATTAGGAATAAGTCATTTAGTAATTAAAATTTTGTTCTATGAAACATGTAGTCTGAGACTCAAAGACCTACCAGGATGTGCGGATTTTATTGAAGATATATTATTTGATATTTGAATTAGATTGAGATTGCTTAAAAGTCAAGATTGGAAAAGACTGTGTATTTTAATCTTGGAATATTCTCATTAGGTATTCATTTACATTCTGAATCTCAGATTTATCCAGTTTTAAAATACTTGGATGTGGTTCACGTCTAGAAATACATGAGGCTACTTATTTAGGAATTAATTTCTATTTCGTTTATACATAAGATGAAGAACATAGATGTTTAACCCTTTGCAACTATGCTTATAAAATGGATAACTTATTTTTTAAAATACCAAGGGCTTTATTAGGAGAGTTCGTTTAGCACTGAGGTCAAGACAGTATAACGTTTGCTACTACTGAATGACTGAATAATGCAACAGTTTAAAAAGTCATATTTTCGATCTGAAACCTGTACAAAAGTTGGATTCAATCAGATAAATAGACATAATTTAGGATTAACTCAGAAAGGAAAATAGGGAATTTCGGCATATAACCAAGTCCCCCAGGAGATTTTGTTGAAGAATTCGCCAAATTTATTTCGTCGAATGACACCGGATAGTGTTATTAGGGCCCACCTAGTTCCCATTTTTATTGTGAATATGAGAAGATTCAGTTTTCTGAGCTTACAAATGAGTGGAACTGGGATTACTTTAGAATACTCCATTGGTTCTTAAGATGATACTGATTTGTAGTTGTGTCTGAAAATCAATCAAAATGATAGTGATGAATACCAACTTAAATGTATATATTTCTATACTTTCAGCGTACTTACGTGTCATATGTTTGACAAATCTCAGGTTAATATCAATTATCACTTTTGGGCACAAATGTTTACGAATAGCTGATTTCTCACGTCCTGGATTACCTAACAACTCCTTCAGCATCTGATAGCTGTACGGTCCACTTGATAAGATGTATGTTTAGATCAAAGCACTTTTTAAAAACGTGTAATCTTCTACTGGTGCTGTGAATAAGCCTTTAGAAAATGTAAGTAATATACAAGAGTTTCTTTCATGTCATTTAAAACTATCTTTGATCGTGTTTTCATGGAATTATTGTGTGAAGTACTGGTTGATTTTGTTCCAATACGTCATTGTGAAATAACCTGCTTCATAAATAAGACGTTCAAATACATTGATAGTTAGTGCTACCTTGACGTGGTGGTCGGGCTTGCCTATCGGGATGATTCAATCGAGCTATACTGGCTGGAACAATCGTTCCTCAAGGTCCTACCATGTCCAGGTCCTACCAGGTCGTTTGAAGAGCGGTGAGACTAAAAGCAGCAAACCCAAGGTCCGAAGGCGAAGTCGTACTGCTGACTGAACAGAGGTGTGAAAGCAGTAAGGTGTTTCCTTCAGGCAACCAGCATGACAGCGACGCTGCCTTCCCACAAGGAGGGGTGGGGTTAGAAAAGGTCGACCCTAAAAATGCACACCTCGCCTTATCCCATGGATATCCGTCTCCAGCGGTAAGGTCCTTTGAAGAACGGAGCTAACACAAAAACTACCCACAAAAAGGTCGTGTGTGACCGACCTCAAGTAGTTGTCCCTTGGGCACTGCGGTCACGCTCTCAGGTCATTAAGACCACTTTTAACCCAATTTCCTTTTCAGGTATCTCTAGAAGAACCCTTCCACGGTGTGGGCAACCGGGAAGTGATAACTGCCCTCAGACCTCTAACAGCACTCAAGACCACTGTATTCATAATCAATCTCCTTCTTCATTTCCTACTATTCTTTCTACCTTGACTTTCAACACTAAACTTCCTCTCTCGGTTTCCTCCTCAAGTGCCACCATGGCCAACGATTCAAGTGCGCGAAACGCTGTCCCAGGTCTACTAAAACCTCGCTCCAAACTACACATTGGAGCCTTCAACATACGTACCCTATGCCAAATCGGTCAACAGGCCTCCTTAGCTAAAACCCTAGAATCTCGTACCATTGATGTATGCTGTGTCTCCGAAGCACACATACAGGATCCCAGTATGGTCATTCACTTGACCTCATCTCGCCAAAATGGACAGCCAACGAAATACACCCTCCGTGTATCTGGCGTCCCGTTGGCTAGTTCTCGTGGACTTGCAGGTGTAGGCATAGCACTAAGTACAAGGGCAGAACAGGCACAACTAGAATGGATCCCCGTTGACAGTCGCCTGCGTGCTGTTCGGCTAAATGGCTCCGTAAGAACTCGGAAGGATAGGGACACACGTCGTTGGCTTTTTCGTCGTTTCTGCCTACGCTCCCACTGATTGCAGCCATGACGAAGTGGAAGATGACTTTTATAGAAAACTCTCTGAACTTCTTCAGAAAGCTAAGCGCTCAGACATAGTAGTCGTAGCGGGTGACTTTAATGCCCAGGTAGGCAGCTTAAATCGAACAGAAAGACATTTAGGTGGGTGTTTTAGTATTCCGGCTCAACGAACCGATAATGGTGATCGTCTGTTGCAATTACGCTTAGACAATCGTTTATTTTTAGCAAGCACTAATTTTAAGCATAAGTAAAGAAATCGTCTAACATGGCGACCACCTGCACCAAACCAACGATGGACTCAAATAGACCATATTGTCATCAGTCATAGTTGGAGAGGCTCAATAGAAGATTGTCGCTCGTATTGGAATACATGTTTAGACTCTGATCACGCTTTAATACGAGCGTGCATTCGTCTGCGCCTCAATGGACGCAGGAAAAGTACACTAAGAAGACCCATTAGGATTGAACTGGAGGACGAGAAAGCCAAATGCGAATTCCAGAAAAAACTGAGTTCACATCTAGGCAGTTCTGTAAACGAGACTGACCCAGATGCTGCTTGGAAAGACACACGAACAGCTGTGGAAACAGCAGTAACATCTATTCGTTATTTAAACCATAGGGCTCCAAAAAACCAATGGATTTCTTCTAAGTCTATTTCACTGATGGATTCGCGTAAACTCATCCCATCAGACTCTGAACATGACGAAGAGCGTAAACAAATTAGATCTAGGTTAACTAAAAGCCTAAGGAACGATCGTGAGCAGTGGTGGGTAATGAAAGCAAAAGAGATGGAAAAGGCAGCGGCTGTAGGCAACACCAGGCAACTATTCAGACTAATAAAAGAAACCGGAATTAAGAAGTCAAGTGTAAGTGAGACAATCTCGAAAAAAGACGGAACCCCTATCTGCTCTCAACACAAACGTTTAGAACGATGGGCGGAACACTTTAGAGAACAGCTTAGCTGGCCTTCAGCTACTCTACAGTTACCCACTATTCCCAGAAAACCTGAATGGAACATTGAAGTAGGTCCCCCGACCCTACTTGAAGTTCAAAAGGCTATAACTAATCTGAAACGAGGAAGAGCAGCTGGTCCAGATGGATTGGCTCCAGAGGTCTTTAAATATAGTGGTCCAATTTTAGCGATAAGGTTGACTAATATTCTGGCTAAAATCTGCGAGACGGACGTAATCCCATCTGACTGGTCACAATCTCTGATTGTCCCAATATATAAGAAGGGGTCAAAATCATCCTGCGATAACCATATAGGGATTAGTCTGACTAACATACCATCTAAAATACTAGCCTCAATAATTATCGGGCGCCTAACTAAAACTCGTGAACTGCAAACACAAGAAAATCAGACTGGCTTCAGACCTGGTCGTGGCTGTATCGACCACATATTCACCATTCGTCAAGTTTTAGAGCACAGACACGCTTATCGGCGTCCGACAATGATAGTTTTTCTTGACTTGAAAGCAGCATTTGACTCTGTAGACCAAGAGGTTCTGTGGCAGTGTCTGTCATTGAAAGGTGTACCTGAGAAGTACATAAACCTTGTGGAGGCTCTTTACTCGAACACTACCAGTCGAGTGAGAGCTTATGGCGAACTGTCATATGATTTTACAACCTCAAGTGGTGTCCGTCAAGGCTGTCTACTATCCCCATTTTTGTTTAACTTCATTATAGACCTGTTGCTGGAAATAACACTTTCGTCGACTGAATTTACAGGAATTGATCTTCTACTAGGAGGTTCACTTATCGACTTAGAATACGCAGATGACATAGTCCTGTTTGGTGAAGACGCTGGCAAAATGCAGTCTTCTGTTAGAACTGAGTAATAATGCCAGGATGTTTGAGATGCGTTTCTCCCCATCCAAATGTAAATTGTTACTCCAGGACTAGCCTACGTCAACACCCGAACTAAGGATAGGGAATGAAGTAGTCGAACGCGTCGACAACTTCACTTATCTTGGAAGTCTGATCAGCCCTAATGGGTTGGTGTCTGACGAAATCTCAGCACGGATTCAAAAAACTCGTTTGGCTTTTGCCAACTTACGTCACCTATGGCGAAGACGAGATATCCGTCTATCAATTAAGGGACGAGTATACTGCGCATCAGTTCGCTCTGTTCTACTTTACGGCTGTGAAACATGGCCATTAAGAGTAGAAGATACTCGTAGGTTACTAGTATTTGACCACAGATGTCTTAGAAATATTGCTCGCATCTGCTGGGATCACCGGGTAAGTAATAGTGAGGTTAGACGCAGGGTATTAGGGAATGATGGTAAATCAGTTGATGAGGTGATGAATCTTCATCGACTGAGGTGGTTGGGCCATGTGTTACGTATGCCTGAACACCGATTACCACGACGCGCTATGATGACTAGTGTAGGGGATTGTTGGAAGAGAGTTAGGGGCGGCCAAACCAAAACATGGCATCAGTGTTTGAAGTCACTAACTTCTAGTCTGAGTCATGTTGGCAGATGTAGACTACCTGGTTGAGGTCCGCGCGACTATCGTAACCAATGGTTGGAGACTCTGGGTGACATGGCTCAGAATCGATCACAATGGCGTAGGTGTATACACTCTTTATCTTCTCTTAAACTATGAGATTAAAATTGCTTCATATCTCTCTTCCTTCCTATACTATATCCTTATATACAACCTTTCTTTATATACTACCATTACTAAATTAATTACTTCTATGAATCCGGTGTTCATCTTGTTGTGCTAACGAGGTATGGCAACTTGGACCGATGAATATATGTGCCTGGTCCTACGTTATCGACTGACTGACTGAGTGCTATGAAAATACTCATAATGGTTTAATGTGAGTTACTTCAGCAGAGTGCTTTATTCCATACTCCAATTCTGATGCCTGTTTATATTAAAACTTAAAGCTGATGATAATTATCATCCCCTTTGCATTGTGCATATCTAAATACAATAATATGCCCATATTTAGAAAATATTTTAGAAAACTCAGAGGAAAAGATTGTTGCGCTGAAACTGTTTATATCTTACGTGTTTGTTCGCACATAAATAACTTCGAGAAATGGTATTCGGTTATTGCAATAGACAAACCAGCAACTGCACAGATAAGTACAATATAAATTGGTTTTGGTCTACTATAAAAGATAATTTTATCTAATAAATTACATGAAGTATGTTTAGAGTTAATCACCTAAAGAACCATTCAGTCGCTTTATACATTAGAATTATACATTCAGATAATGATCCAATCATATTTGGCTAGCAGTATATAGTGTTGATTTTACTAAGGAATAGATGCTATGGTAAAATAAATAAATGTATAAGTTAATGACTTAAGCATTACCCTTTCTAAGATATTTCAACTGAATAAACACACGAAATCAGCAATGAAACCTCAAATAAAGACAAACAATTTGCGGAGACATCATAAATCATGAATTTAAGGGGTATCATTAATCGAACGGAATAAAACCGTCTTACCTATTGGTTTAAAGTGGTGATGCTTATAACTAGTGCATTCATGAAATCAGACTTCTAGATAATCATAATTTATTTGTAAACTGATGGATAGTATAGCAACAAATGTACTGCCTATTTAATTTCATTTATATTATCATATCATTAATGTAATTATAGTGTTTTAGGAAAATACCATAAAGGTTTCCTATACTATTAATAGTATATTTCTAGATAATTGTAAGCTGAATATCCGTCAAGTAAATGTCGCTTCATTGTATGCTATCAATAAAGTCCATATCAGTGTCGTAAGTGATCTCATTTTAAGAATGAACAAAATTCGACAATAGCTTCAGGGAATTGGTTAATTATTTGATAGGAATTTTAACTCAACTCACTTGTATATTATGTTTAGCTCGATGGTATGCTCTTAACGTGAAACCAGGGCATATAATAAAACATGGGGTTGCACAACATTCATCATATCGACGATACATGTAGCACATGTAACAGGAATAACAGCAAAGCACAAGCCAACCTAAAATTTAAAAAAACCCGTCTAATTCAAGAAAACATTTCAAGATTTAATGCAATAATAAACTACACAAAGTGTTATTTTGTTTTGTGCTTGTTTTTTATCCAAAGGTATGATCGAAATGACTCAAGACAAATCCAAAGAATGATGGAATCGTTTTGTATAGTTATAATGTAAAATTACTGCTTCTTGGATATTCTGTATTAATTATAACATCCGTTACATTGTAGAACGCGTTACCTGAGGTTGAAAATATCTGTGATAAAAAGCCAACACAAGAATTGTAGTGCTTATGGTTTTAACTGGGGAATAGATACTAAAGAATCATTATTAAACTATAGACTGAGATAGCTCTCTATTAATCATGGATATTGCATTGTAGTTTAATTGATACCTCACTTTTAAAAATATAATACACCGTTAAGTTTGAAACTGAAATTTTAACTCTCTTTGTTATGAATTGCAATCAAAATCACTTGTGAATATGACTGAAACTAACACTAATCTGAAGGGGTTTTGTGGAGATCTCAGTATTTTGATAGTTGAAAGCATGAGTCAATTGAAGCTGTGTTTGAATCTTGCGAGGCGAGATCGTGGATGCGGACTACTGAGGAGTCCCACAATAGGACAAAACGGCCGTTCAGTGCTTCCAGGTTTTCCTTGGTGGTCTAGCTTCAATTGACTCACGATTTCAACTATGATAGCACTAATCTGTCTCGTATGTGTATAATAGTCAACTAATTAAAAAAATAGTCTAAATAGATAAATTTCAAATGTACCCTCAGTAGGAAGGAAGCATTCTTATTTCATGAACTAATTTGAAACTTATGAAATACTTCGGTTAATAACAATTCACATTTTAATCGAATACTAATAAATGAGTAAACAATAGAAGAAAAAACAACTTACATGAATTACAGTCATTTGTACAGTCAAATAGTCCATCATGCCAATCTCTTTGTCTAACTGCATATGGTTGCTTAGTTGTCGGACTGTCCATTTAAAAAGAAAAAGGATTATAGTATTCTGTTATTATTTAATTGTTAAAGATAATTATGGAAAGTGAGCGTTTTAATTATTAATAAAGAAAAGATTTATCAAGTTAAATAATAACAGAGAATAGAGTTATATATTAATGAGATTGTAGACATGTGTTAACTTATTTCATTGACTGGATTCAACACCAATAAGAAGTGCCTTAGAAACCATTGGTTATCTAATGAATAAATGTTTTTTTATACTCATGTAAACAAAAAGGTTTGGGATTGGTTAATTATCAATTGATCATTGTAAGTACAAAATTGAAGGTGGACTTCATTTGTTATGTAAGTATACAAATATTTGTGTTGACAAATAAAAAATCTGGTTACGAGTTTCAATTTTTATTTAGTTATCAAGGAATCAATTTCAGAAAGGAACTTGAATAGTTCAAATTTGATCAACTAAAGATATCAGTGGTACACTGAATATTAAAATAAATAAAGTGATTCTTCTGGTTATTAGTCCAGGAGTTCAGAGAGAGGTGAAGTATACTGACTATTGAGCAGTTAGCTATATCTTGGAAAAACTAGTATTATCAAATAGGAATTAAACGAATAATAAGTGGAGGCTTTTTTTATCATAATGATTCACTTATTACATGTAGTCTCAGACGAATGATTTTAGGGAAATAGTAAAAGTTAAAAATTAATTAAAAATGAAAAGTCGTTGAAAGATGCATTCAAATATTGCATTTTAAAATAAAGTAAAATAACATAACTGAAAGTGAATTCATTTAACTAATGATATTTATTTAAACATATAAATATTGGTACAAAGGGGCATCAAATAGATATGCTCCACATTAGTCAATTGATTTGTATGTGGGCTGTGATACTGCCCGGATGCCCAGACCGAAGCAGGTGGTTTTCTTAGGCGGCCACACCTCGAGCTTTTGGCCTAAAGATGTAATCCACAAGGCAGTGGAGCAACGTAAGCAGATGCAGTCTCATAGAAACCGTTAGGGCAACATTAGGATTATATGCTATTTGTTCCTTCAGGATTCTGAAGCCATGTGAACCATTAGCTTGGAACTAACATGTTCCAACTCCCCTAGATGGACGCTTCATATTCACCAATCCGGTTAAAGCGCCGGAAATTCGCTTTTCGTCCTCTCAGTTTCGTAAACAATACCCCCGCCGCGAGAAGGCAGTAATTAGAACTTCCCTTTCAGTGGCTGTTTGCATGTATTCATGTGAGAGCGTTTCGAGAGGGAGATTGGGATCTCCCCACCCTCAGTCGTACCAGGGCATTTGGAGGCGAAGTCAGAAACGGCAATGAAGGAGCTTTCGATCACATTTTTCTAGTAACAAGTCGTTATATTTTACAAAAGATAAAACACTGCTTTTTTGGAGCTGTGTCAAATTTTGTACCTAAGACAAATCCAAACTTTATTGAGTAAGTGAAGATATGTCTCAGTGTTTTCTTAATCAATTTTAACTTTATACCGTTGATTCCGTTCAAAAATCTGGTTAAAGCAGAAAATGACAACAATTCAAGATTACAATTAATTCGTCCTGTTTCTATGCTTTATCCTCAACTAAATACAAGCTATTAAGTTTAATTAGTTTAAACAATAACACACTTGGAATTCTTATGAAATAAGCTGTCATCAATGAACACAATTGTTTGTGTATAATTTAAAGGGAGTTTTAGAGCTTGTAGAAGGAAATAGACTGAGTAAAGGTAACAAAGAAGCTTATAGTTTCTTATGAATTATCACTATCCCTTATCAACATCGCTTCAAAGATAAACTATCAACATGATTAGCCATTATTCAGAAGATATATCTATGCCAAATGTACAACTAACTTCGAATGTCTATTATGTATCAAACTCAGAGATAAGTTGGGAATTGGATATTTTTTAAATGGATATTTCAGGTTAAACCATCGAAAGACTTCTTAGTTTAACTTAATAACGTTCTTCCATTTCATTAAACTGACTACAAAATCGCTAAGACTGATTGTAACTTAGCAATCGGCTTTTTTACACACTACCACAGTATTTCTGACAAGTAATATGACATTTATTGAAGCTAACCACATACCATTGTAAGATTTTTTCTGTACGCAGCGACTGATAGTACCATATCACATAATGAAAATGGGGCCGGAAATATCCATAAAAATAGCTTTTTTAAAGCATGTAAAAAGATGTTCAAGGTTTAAAGATGAATAAAATACTTAAGAAAAAAAGGTGTTAAGGAACATGACTGGTAAATTGCTTATCAAAGCTGAACCAACATTAAACTAACTTTTTCAAAATTTAGGCACACACACGTGAGTAGATATAGCAGTCTATACTATGATATAGTGTAAGAGATACCTTTCTGATTAACTTCTTGAGAGGATTTATTACCAGTGATATCTCCGTAAAAATTGAAGATTCACAAAGTTTTGTTTTGAGGAATATGAATTTGGTTCAGGAAAACTTTCTGTTTTGTATGTTTTTTTCAATAGATCGTAAAGAGCAATTGACTTATTGAAAGATGGATTTCAGAAAGGTTAGTTTATGCCTTTAGAAATCTGCTGAGAAAACTTCACACTAGCCTAGGCATAAAGAACGAATGAGATTTGATTTTCTTGTTTCTCGGACACTATTCTATAAGTTCATCTATTGTTCATTCTTCACAAGCCTTACATATGGGTTTTTGTTGTGTTTCATTATTTCCTTTCGTTAATAAAATATCCTCAGAAAGTAATTTTCATTTCAGTTTTTATCCCACTGTAAAGATAAGTGATGATAGTAATTATCAGAAGGCTTGAAGATTTATTGAACATCGAATATATGGTCGATATATAGTTGATCAGTAGTTGATTATAGGCTCGGTGGTGAATTCTTTACTATCTTATCCATTTACTTATATATCTGATTAATGAAGCTAAAGTGCATATTCAAGGTACATCTCAAAATCACTTCTTCTGAATAAACGATAAAGATTTAAATATCTATTCCGTTTATTTCTAAACATTGAAAGCTAATTTCTAAGCTACACTTTAATTTACCTGATACACAATCAAAGGATTGAGAGTATATACCACACTCACTAATTTGCATCAATAAACTGAACAATCATAACAACAAACAACAACAAAAAATGTTTTTCAGTTTTACAAACTTGTTTTTCACCTGGAATCGCATTTTTTTTAAATTGAGATAAAATTTAAGAGTTTAATGTTCAATTGTTATTTAATGATAAACATGTTATGACTTATTTAGTGAAATTTTTTAAAAATGGTACATTTTGGCAGAAGATGAAAGTAATAAATCTTGTAATAAATAAATAAGTCATCACTGTTCTTTTTTTTTGTTTTGTTCTTGTTCTCATGAACTTTGTATTTGATATGTGTAATTTATTGTTGGTATTGTGATTGAATCTCTTGGATGAATATAACATAACTTATACAAATATACGTTTTATCCTTTTGATATTCTATGAAGAATGGTTATACTTTTTGTAAAGGTAACAGTGTGGTGTGGGTTACTGATATTCACATAAGTAGTATATGGTGATGGTAGAGCATTAAATGTATTTCAGTAGAAGATCGATAAGAAGAGAACGGGAACGGCACACAATTGGTACAAAAGCGCATCAACAATTATAATCGGAGACTATGCACAGATATTTGCAGAAGAAGCAGTCAAATTGAGACAATTGATTGTTATTTTGCAAATTAACAGTTCACTATATGGTTCTCATATTTTAATGAGACATTCTGTAATGTTGTACATTAGATTGACCCCACTTGTATTTTGTTCACTACAATAGTAATGGAATTTTGAACGTGTATTTCATAGAATTAGGAATCGATAAATACTATGAACATAATTATCCGCTGAATTTATATTTTAACAAGATAAATTCATGAAAATTCACCGTCGTTTTCTGACCACATGGAGCATGATACCAACTCGTGATACTTACATGAACTTATAGTACCTCTGCTATAATTAAGGTTGTTCATGTTTACTTTTGTCAAGCCTTCCAATTTAACAAGCAGTGTTTATTTAAACGGTAACAGTTTATATATCTTCGTATTATTATTACTTCTGTATGAACATATATACTTGATCACATATAATAGCCTACTGGCATATCCCTCTTTCTAGATTAAATGTTAGTTGCTTAAATCGCTTGATAAATCACATATATATACTCGGCTCTTAATTCGCCTCTGTATGCGCTCCATCGCTCGTGTTACTGTGCTTGCTCAATTTCACTTGGTGTGCTTGTGGCTTACTGACCTGTGAGCTATTCGATAATAAACTGTAGTCAGTGCCTCGTGTTGCCTTCTTAAATTCATATACCGTTGGGATTTATTTAATAGCTGTTATGAGGGCGATTAATATATATGAAGCCTTAGGAATTATCGCGAAGATAATTCACTACAAGCTGTTGATATTCATTTTACTTAATATTGTAGTTGTATCATCTTAAAACTTTAACAGTTGCTTTCATTTTATATATACTCATTGAATATTTGTTTAACTGTGACTGATTCTATATTTTGTATTCTTAGTTCATATTTTGACTATCGACCGCCTTTATGGTATTGACACAGGTACAAATTATTACATGGCTTATTCTATATTTTGTGTAAGTAATTATTATATAACTATTGTATGAAGCATTTCCTTCTTAATTATTCATTAATGCGGTAAACGCTTTAGACACCTCACGAAATGATATTTGTAAATACATCGTTTATTCTGTGCTAAACAGTAGTATTACATCTTGGACGAATCTTGTGTTGTGATTTAGGGTTTTTTACGCTTAACTCAGTCTTTTCTTGAGAAGGGCCAAACGAAATTAGCAAGCACATCAAGCAAATAAACTTATTACTCTCTATTACTCTCTATTTGACACGACTTAAAAGCTCATATGAGTATAAATATACAAATTATCTGATCACAACGTACCACAAATTGAAAAATCGTGTGCACATGAGTAAGCTGTAA